GCCTCCACCGGTCTTCAAGGGAGTTAAGGTGGTGGAGGATTGGTTTTACAATATGGAGGATTACTTCCGAACGTTGCGGTTACCAAGCTCAGAAAAGGTCCCATATGATGGTTTTCTTTTCCTTTACCAGCAATGGGACAAGAGCTTCATTGAAGGCCAGTGCTTGCATCGCCTAGAAGACAATCTATGCAAAACCATACTTGGTAGATAATGCCACGTTTTGGTGGAGAACGACAGAGATCAACGAAGGACTGGTGGCCACTTGGGAAATGATGAAGGCGAGGATCCGTGCGACTTACGTTCCTCTGAATGCTACTCTGCATTTAAAAGATGAGCTAAGTACGCTGAAGAAGGCCGGAACCATTCATGAGTATGTGAATGGGTTTATGGTAAAGAGGATATTTGTTACAGACATGGGTGATATGGATGTGTTCTATGCCTTCATATCAGGCTTGCAAACCTGGGCTTGCGGTGAGGTGATGCGTTGGAACCCGACCAACTACAAGGAAGCGTTGGATGCGGCCATCAAGGTGCATTTCAACAATAACCTGCGAAAGGGGAACACGACGGGGTCAGGGTCCACATTTAGCAAAGGGGCCAAACCAAGGGGAACATATAGCAAAGGGAAATTCAAAAAGAGTTTCTTTAAGAATGAGTCCTCGGGGTTCTGGAAAGGCAAATCCAGCGGCCAGCGAGTGAGTACATGGGGGAGTCAAGAAAAAAGAGATAAACCCACGGATAAAAAGGTCAAATCGGTTAGTAGCGTAAGCACTCATAAAAGTGTGGCGTATCCCCAACCGAGACGTCAAAACAAGAAATGCCTCAGCCATAAATGCAAGACCATTATTCAAAAGAATCCGCTTTGGACATAAATGTTGGAACACCACTCGATTGAGGAAGAAGTATTCAATAGCAATTGCAAAGGCGCTAGCAAGAGCACTAACTTCCACCCAACGAGTCAAGTAGTCAAAAGCAATAATAATATACTCATTACCAGTAGTCGACTGTGGAAAAGGTCCCATAAGATCAAATGCCACCAACTCAAACAGACGGGAAACTGCAATCAACTCCAACCGTCCTTCCGCAGCACGAGGGGGAGTATTATGAGCTTGGCACCAAACGGAGCTATGCACATACCGGATAATATCACGGCACATCTTTGGCTAATAGAAAGACTTGCGCAGCTTCTCGGTTACACGACGATGTCCCATATGCTCACCTAGAATAAGAGAATCATGGTAGGCATGGAAAAACTGTAGAATAAAGACAGAAGGCACCACCAGTTGTAAATGATCATCAGAATTTATCCCTGCAAAATAAAGAAGGCCATCTTTAAGGCGATATTGAGAATGTAAATGCCGGAAAGGTAAGTATCAGCAAGTGATGCAAAATTCTCAAAACCATCTCAAAGCCTTCAAATCCATAGCTCAATCTTTTGAGCCTCGCGAACTTCATCAAGAGAAGGTAGACCTTGTTTTGCGCCTTGTGGACACTGAATGTCAAGTATACCAACTGCCGTTAGCACAAAATCCTCGTCTAGAAAATCCACAAATGCTGGAATAACAGGCTCATTAGAAACATGAGAAGAGAGTGGAGAAGGAAGAGAAGCTCGAGAAAGGGCATTAACATCAGCCATAAAACTCCCAAAGCGATGAACAACATCAAAATCATATATTTGAAGCTTCAAAGCCCATCGAGCAATACGACCCACTAGGTTCTTTCACTTCAATAATGAAGTAATAGCAGCATGGTCACCTTCAAGTAATGTCTGAAAACCATATAGATATGCATGAAGTTTCTTGAAAGCTCAGACTGTTGCTAAACACTTCTTCTCTGTCATGGAGTAGTTCATCTCCGCTAATTGTATGTACGGCTTATATATGCAATGGGATGGCACTAACCAAGCACACTCAAGCTCTCTTGCATTAACACACCTCCAAGACCAATGTCAGAAGCATCCACGCATAAAATAAAAGGTTGAGTATAGTCAGGATATGCCAAAACCGGAGGAGTCATCAATAGCTCTTTGAGATCCCTGAACACCCGCTCACAATCTAGAGACCAGATGAAAGATGACATTGATGACTTCAGCAATGCTCGCAACGGTGCAATGCGATCAAAAAGATGATCCACATAACGACAGCGATCTGCACCTTGCCCAAGAAGCGTTGCACATCATTCACACACTTTGGAGTAAGGAACTTTAGAAACAGCCATAAGTTTTTCAAAATCAACTTGCAAACCCTCACGAGAAATACAATACCTAAGATAAGTTGTGTCCTTGGACCCAAACACCCACTTCGACTGCTTCAGCTTTAAACCAACGTCACGTAGCCGATCTAACACTTTACAAACATCACAAATGTGCTCCTCCCACATCCCCTCCGAGTGGATCAAAACATCATCAATGAAGTCAATAGTCACCTCTGGCATATTGCAAAGAACCTCGTCCATCATCGGTTGAAAAGTTGCTAGAGCATTGTTCAAACAAAACAGCATCACCAAGAACTTGTATAAACCAAATGGTGTACAAAAAGTAGTCTTAGGAATATCTTCTTTGACCATCGGCACTTGCCAGTACCCAGAAGCAAGATTTAGCTTGGTGAACCAATGACTTCGCCCCAGACAATCCAAGAGATCAACAGTGTGAGGAAGAGGGTACACATTCGGGATCATCACTTCGTTTAACAGATGATGGTCGATGCAAAAATGAATACTCCCATCAGGCTTTGTCACAAGATGAGGTTCACATGCCCAAGGACTCCACGACTTCCGAATAACACCCATTGCCAACATCTCTTTGACGTTTGTACGTAAAATTTTGATCTCCTTGGGTGATCGACAATGAATAGGAACCTTGATTAGACGAGCATCCCTGGTTGGAATCGGATGATGTATGGCAATCTTGGCCCCAGATGATAAGTCAAATTCAAAGAGATCATGAGCTGGTCAACCGCTGTAACACAAAAATCATTGGAGGGATCGGAAAAGGAAAGAGCAGAACAAGATGGAAACACATAAGGAAATAGTGTGGGAACAAAAGTAATGGAAGCAGAGGTAAAAGTAAAGGGACGAAGAGGTACAGAAGTGAGAGGAATGAATGAAACATAAGTAAATATGAGATAAGGGGGAGAAGCCTCAAAGTCACATTTGGCATAATTGCGTTGCAACCAATCCATACCAAAAATGAGGTCAAAAGCTTGACTTAGCACCATCCGCAACGACTGCAACTCAAGCTCGAAATTGCCCACACACACAACTAGGTCCGCCTCATCCTGTGCACATGCATGTGTACAGCCGTTGCCATAAAGAATGAAAACTTGTTCTACCGTATGAAGCAAGTGTAGACAACAACGTGTGGCAACAGGTTGAGCAATAGAAGATAAACTCAAACCTGTATCAACCAATACGGAGAGAATAATAGAAGACCTTGTGTTATGAAAATAAGCTCGGAAAGTAAATACTAGATGAATCGGTGCTAAGTGAACCCCTTGATGATACTCCCGAAAGAAAGATGGAGGGGTCACTAACTTATTCGCGCAAGGTCCCTCCATTACTCACGTGACTCCTCGTTTCTTGGATGCACTGCGGTGTCCAAACCTTCCACTGCTTGCTGACGCCAAGATCTCCACCAAAGAAATGGAGGTCGCCAATTCGGAAAATGCCGACAACGCCAATAAGTATGACTAACTTCATCACACGCCCAGCAACGAACGTCACAGCCACAACCACATCCTCGCCCTTATCCTTGGACTCGAGCAGCAGCAACATCAACTTCCATTGGAATAAGACCATTACTCATAGGAAGTGGAGGTGAAAGACATGCAACGAGAAGTGGAAGAAGCAACATCTCATAACATTGTGCTAAACGAAGAGCATCATCAAGGGTGGCAGGAGCAAGTGCATGCACACAAGTCTGACAAGATCTTGACGAAGTGCTGGCCACAACATTCCTAGCTTGATCCGCTCTGACATATTAGGCTTTGCACGAAGCAAAAGACTTCAGAAACAAACTCTAAATTGCATCACCAACTCAGATGGCCCTTGGAAAAGATGATGCAATTGTTGGAAAGTATCATCACAATTATCAGCATGTCCAAAGTCGCATTTGAAGACGTCCAGGAGAACACTCCAATCCCCATGAGTGGCTGCGCTCAAACCATTGTACCACTGCAACGCCGTCCCTTGGAGACACGTGAGAAACTCACACAAACGTCGAGCATCATCCCAAGAATGATATGTGGCAATCATCGTGAAGTGATCGAACCAATGGTACACATCATCCCCAGGAGTCCCACGATAGAACTCCGGCAGAACACGAGGATTGACACCAAAAGCAAAAGGAGTTGTACCACATGCTGTGAATGGTGCCATCAATTAAGTTTGGTTGTTCAATTGCAAGCACATAGCATCAAACAATTGGACCAATTGCTACTCCAAAGTCAAAGGAGGAGATTGCTAATCTACCATGAAAATCAATGAAAAAAGAAAGAGCAAAAGAAGAGAAATGACAAAAAGCTAGAAGGAAATGGTAAATCTAGACAATGCAAAAAGCTAAATCTAAACCAAAATCTTGAAAGGGAAGAACAAAAGAAAAGAAATGGAAAAGCTAAATCTAGATGATGCAAAAGCTAGATGTAAACCAAAATCCCAAATTCAAGCACTTTTCAAGGACAATCAAAAGTGCCCCTCACCTCCACAAATATGAGTGCTTGGAATATAGAAAGGGAATATAGAAAATGTGCATATCAATTAACCCAAAAACCTTAGATATTTCTAAATATTTAAATATTTCTTTTTGTAAGTGCTTGGAATATGGAAAAAAAAGCCCAAAAACCCTAAGTTATATATAAGAGGTCCAAATTAAAATCAATTTGACAGTTATTAAAATCCCACTATATTAATATTAATATACTGCATTATAACCATACACTTGGACCTCACATCTCTATATATAATGATGAAGATAGATCTAGACTGAAAGTTAAATAAAGAATCAAAAACAAAGAAAAGAGTCAATTAAGATAGCATAACTTTAACAGTGACCAGATCCAAGTGCTTTTCTCTTCTGCACTTGTAACTCTAGGATCTTCCCTTCCAGCAACGCTTTCTGCAATTGCAGCTTCCGTATTTCATCCTGTTTCAGTGTAGCATTAGCTAGAGAGCAAGAAGAAGAAAAGATAGAAGCAAGCTCTACCTTGTATCTGTCCCAATCGTCACTAGCTTTGGAGAAAGCTTCCCAAATAGCACCTTCACAGGAAGGGAAGTGTATCCTTTGGCTGTAAACCATGTCCAGAGCTTGGGCACCACCGTAAGTTAGCTCCTGCTCGAAGTTGTCCATCTCCTCTTTGGGCCTGAAGAGACACAGATAAATCGGCCACCCGAAGCGTATCCAAAAGTTGAAGAACACGAGGCAGCATGTTGAAAACGTTAGGGCGCATCTGCCTGGGATAGTATCGCTAGTTAACGTCACATCCGCCATGCTGGCGAGCATGATAATGACGATAGTCACAGCCAAGTAGTCCACAGTGTCCCTGTACTCGGTAGATAGCAGTGGATCCTCCTGGTTGCGCAGCTGATAGATGACGAAGATGAGCACCAGCCAGTATGGAGTATACACGGAGAAGACGGTGGTTTTCCAGTTCTTGCTTAGCTTGCACAACCGAACGCTGGCATCAAGAGCAATCAGTCCGAGAGAGAAAGAGATGAAACATCGCAAGCCATGAACTGTACCTTCTCTCGTGTTCATGGAAGTCACTCAAGCTAGCAACGGTGGACAGGATGACGTTGGGAAGCAGGCACAGGGCGACGAAAACGTAGTATTTCCACGACCAGTTGTCGATGTTCTTGCTGAGCTCGTACATCCGAGCAAGCCGGAGAATAGTGAGCACGAACCACAGGCAAATAGCCGTCCCCTGGAGCCAGAACGTCCACAGCAAGCAGCTCCTGAGCGGCCCGATCCTGCTGAAGTGGTCATTGTTGACGAACTGGGCTGGGCTGCTATCCAGACTAAGCCCGCTAGCGAACTCCCTAAGATGAGATACACACCTCCCTGCGCTCGAAAGTAGGAGCGCCCGCGATGGGCGAAGAGCGCGCCATTCGCCACGATGAATGGAATTGTCGCGGCCAAAGCAAATGCCAGGAGTGTGAAGTCGTAGGGAGTGTCTGGATCACTGGGCACCACTTTCATGTAACACCCTTGGTTGCAACATCCAGACGTCATGGACGAGGGAAACTCGCTCGATCTCTATCTGTTCTTCCAGCCCTCGTTCTTGACTTTCTCAACCCGAGATTATTAATTCTTTATCACCTCTTGGTCCTGGAACTTTGCCTGGTCTCGTAGATCACGGATCCATCGAAGCAGCTCATGGGCTTCGAGCTTCTGGATCTCATCCTGCAGCGCCTTTTTATTATGCAATCCAAAACTTGATCTGCCTCCCACACAGCTCCCTCGGACGAAGGGAAGCGGAATCTCTGGCTTTGGCTCGCGCAGCGGCGCTGGTCAGCTGCTGCTCGAACGCATCCATCTCTTCCCTGGGCCGCAAGAGGCACACTGTTGATAGACGGGCCACGCGGCTTTCTACCATTTAAAGAATATCCATTTCATTTAAATCAGTGGTGTGTGGTAAAAGGCATGGCCTTGGTCAATCCATGGCCTTGCTGCTCCTGTGCTACAAGTAGTGTGCATACATATCCTTTCCAATTCTGTGCAGGTGAAAAGACCATTCTTCTGCCCAAGCACAAGAAATTCATTCTTAGAACATCTCCAACGAATCAACCACAAATCATCAGCAGCAGCAGTTCCTCGGAAGATGCCCCTCCACCCGGATGCAGCAGAGTCAAAGTGGAGCTAAGAAAACCTTTGGGTCTGTAACAAACACTCCATTTCTTATTTTGATGTTTCATTTCGAACAGGCATGATCCTTGAGGAGGACTCTGCAGGCAACATTTTCGTGGCCGAAGTTTCACCAGGAGGCAACGCAGAGAAGAGTGGATTGAGGGAGGAGAAGACAAAAACCGACTCTATCCGCGAGATGGAATCGCGTAAGAAAAATGTCGACGAGGAGGTCAAAAGCTTACAGGACGAGATCGCGAAGCGGAAGCTGCAGCTACAGGATAAAGACAAAGATTTCAAATGGCTAGAAACACGGTTACAAGCTGTAGTGAAGACGAACAGGCTCCTACAGGGAATCTTAGCCAAGCAGGCGGCCTTCAGGAAAAGGGTAAGCGAAGACGGGAATGAAGACACGGAGTGCGACGTTCAAAAGTGTTTAGAGGTGAGGGCGCTTTATCTTTTTTGCTCATGGCATCTTACCTTATCAGTCCGACAATGTGCAGGTGTCTGCCGAGCAGCTCAACCAAATGAGCGAGCGACTGGAATTGATGAAGGACAAGTTGCTGGAGCGTGAATCAGAGCTTTTTGCAGCGCGTACGGAGTGCGTGTGACGATTCAGGGGCTGGAGCAAAACATGTCCGAGGCCAGAAAGACGCTCGAGACACGGATCCAACGACTGACGGGTAGAAATGAAGAGCTGTTCAGGCTGTACAATGCAAAGGAGAAGGAGATTGTGGACCTTCAAACGAGGTTCAAACAAGAATCGGAGCTTCGCCAGAAAAGCGAGACCGAGCTGGAACAGGTAAAAGCTTTGTCGTGGTTACTTTGTTCTAATCAAACTGTGATTGTGCTTTGTCCAGATGAAAGAGCAAGCTAACGATCTGAAAGAGGAGCTCAAGGTGCAAGACATGCATTGCGTGCTGTTGAGGGAGAAGCTGTGCACGTGAGAAGTGGAGCTCGAGGACCAAGACGTTGAAACGAAAAGGGCCGTGGAGGATCGTTTCGTGCTGAAGAAGGACGCTGTGAAGCTGCAAGCGCTCGTGGACGAGGCCGCCCAGCGAGTGATTAGCCTCGAGCACAAGGTACTCCATCTCTCTCTCTCTCTCTCTCTCTCTCTCTCTCTCTCATTTATTTGCTTTTCTGACGGTAGAACTTGGGTGATGTTTGCTGAGAAGGAAGAGAAGATAACTTGGCTCCAACGCGGACTGAACGATCGGGTCCAGGACTGGAGCAAAGTCAAGGAGGAGCTGGTGAGAACGAGAAAGGAGAGGAACTCGATCAAAAGCGAGGCGGAGCAACTGGGATGAGAGGCCCTGCGAATGAGTGCCGAGGTGGAAGTGCTCAAGCAGAGAGTTCATCTCCTGGAGGAGGGCATACTTATGAAGGAAGGGGAGCTGTCCATATTGCAGGGGAACATGGAGGATTGATCCACGACAGACAACAGACCAACACTGACACCACACCAAAAGGGATTTCTAGTTTCTTTTTTTTCTTCATTTTTCGTTTCTCCTGATCCGCAAGCGTGATTTTGGGATGGCTCTTTGTAACAATCACGAGTTTGATGTGTATTGTACAGAGAAAAATTAATGACTTCATGGTAATAAGGATGGCTCTTTGTAACACTCATGAGTTTGATGTTTATTGTACAGAAAAAAATTAACAACTTCATGGTAATAAGTATTCTTTCAATCTTGATAGTGTAAGCAATTATTTAAAGTTTTCTAATTAAATGTAATTAATTTGCTTTTGTGAGTGTTTAGAATATGGAAAGGGAATATAAAAAATGTGCATATCAATTAACCCAAAAACCTTAGTTTATATACAGGAGCAAGTGGTCCGGATTGAAATCAATCTGACGGCTACCAAAATCCCACTATGCTAATATTAGTATACGGCTGTAAGGAACTAACTCCTTGAGGTGTCATAGGCTAAAGGTTCCTCGAAAGAATGACCAAAATGACAAAAAGTTCATCAGATGGGACCGGGTCTGAGATCGAGTTCAAGACTGACTTTAAGACCAAGTTTGAGATAGAGTCCGAGATCAAATCCGAGACCGAGTCCGAGTACTAATACAGGTCAAGGGGTGAAAGCCCAAAGCGTGCGTCTCCCAGGGGTTCCAAAAGTATAGTGGGGATAGTGAGGTCTAGGAATCAGTCACGAAGTCTCTAGTGGTGCTTCCAAACTGACTTGAGGTTGAGACTGGGGCCGAAAGGCCTTGGGTGGGAGCGAGCATGGACTCAGGTGGTGCCAGAGGGGCCACCCAAGGAAGTGCTCAAGAGCAGCTCCCACTCCCGAAAGAGAAACTGGCTACAGTGCTCCTAGCTCATGTGGAGTGGTGCCCCACTTGAATACCTTGTGGCTCATTAGCCCTCACCCTTCCTAGGGGCTTGGGCCTTCCTTTCGGGATAGAAGTGGGGGGGTAGAGGTACCCATACCGGGTTGTTAGGCTATGGTGTTTCGCCCCAGTGTCCCGAAGCAAGTGTTGCACCCAAGGCTTGGGATTTAGAGGGTCCTATGATCAAGTCTTGTTGTATCAAGGGATGTTAAGAACCTGGAGGCTTGGTGTGCTTGGCTACTTGTGCTTGTGGGGAGTGTAGCTGAACCTTAAGTCCAGTCTAACTCGGGGAAGGGGATTGGGAGAGATTTGGGAATCTGTGGATGGATGGCTAACACTCCGTTGCTCGTGCAGTGAGTAGTTGAAACCAAGTAGGATCAGGTACAATAGGTGGGAACTTTGGTGAGAGAACTTAGCAAAAGCCAAGACAGTGTTGGTTGGAAAGACAAGGTAAGCTGATAAATTGGAAAGGAAAAAATTGTGGCTTACAATTTGGTATCGGAGCGTTTTCCTCAATTCTAGAGAAGGATAGAGGCAGATTGCTGGGAGATGGCAAAGGCAGGATGTAAATGAATAAAGGCGGAGACAGAACCTCCGGCAGAGCTGGAGCCTCTGATGGAACAAGAGGCTATGGATGAGGAGGACTCTAGTGAGGAAACTTCCAAACAGGAGTCTGGTGGCGAAGTTCGGTCTTCCAAGGCTCAATTGGATGTTCTAGAAGGACAATTGACATAGACCAATGCCTTGTTGGAGACTCTCGTACGCAAGCTAAAACATGACGAGAAGCAGAAGAAAAAGCAAAAGATTGCAGATGTTGGCAGGATAGAAGGTGCGGACCCTTCGGTAGGGATTGAGGCAAAACCAAACAAGGTTGAACAGACCGAAATGGAATCAATTCCTTAGGCAGTTCCCAAGTACAAACCAAAGCCCCCACCAGTCTTTAAGGGAGTGAACGACTATAAGGTGGTGGAGGATTGGTTTTACGATATGGAGGACTACTTCCGAGCGTTGTGGTTACCAAGCTCGAAGAAAGTCCCATGTGCAAAACTATACTTGGCAGATAATGCCAAGTCTTGGTGGAGAACGACAGAGGCTAACGAAGGACTGGTGGCCACTTGGGAAATGATGAAGGTGAGGATCTGCGCGACTTACGTTCCTCTGAATGTTACTCTGTATCTAAGAGATGAGCTGAGTAGGCTGAAGCAGGCCGAAACCATTCATGAGTATGTGAATGGATTTATAGCAAAAAGGATACTTGTTACGGACATGGGTGATATGGATGTGTTCCATGCCTTCATATCAGGCTTGCAAACCTGGGCTTGCGGTGAGGTGAGGCGTTAGAACCTGACCAACTACAAGGAAGCATTGGATGTGGCCATCAAGGTGCATTTCAACAATAACCTGCGAAAGGGGAACACGATGGGGTCGGGGTCCATGTTTAGCAAAGGGGCCAAACCAAGGGGAACATATAGCAAAGGGAAATTCAAGAAGAATTTCTCTAATAATGAGTCCTTAAGGTTCCGGAAAGGCAAATCCGACAGCTAGCGAGCGAGTATGTGGGGGAGTCAAGCAAAAAGAGACAAACCCACGGATAAGAAAGTTAAGTCGGTTAGCAGTGTGGGAACAACGTATGTTACAACTACGGTGAAGCGGGATACTTTTCGAGGGAATGCCCCTACTTGAAGAAGGTCAGAGCCAATATGGCCATTAAGTCGGGTGAAATCTAAACTGAGGTATGTGATCTAGTTCCTAGCTCAAAGTTACTCATTACACGAGCAATATTGGTAGAGAGTTGTTCGCGACATTTACTAGCCTTTCGAGAGAAGCTCGGAGGTAATTTTGTTAAGATCCTTATTGACACGGGTGCTTTGGATAATTTTGTGGCTACAGACATAGTCTGGCAAACCGGACTGTAGCACACCCTATCTCTCTCCCCTTAATCCAACTAAAAAAAGGGCAATTGCTTGATGAGAGAGCCCTTAGTGGCTATTTTATCCCCATTTATCCCCCAAGGTTCCAAGTATCCACGGTGACAGTATATTCAAATTTCATCCCATGATCACATGCACTATACTCACCCCCCCTTTAGAGATGTCAATATCTTCATTGACTATTGACTAACAACCCCTATTGAGCTAAAGGAACCAGCACCTCCATTTCCGCACCGAATCTATCAATCCTTCCATTGTGTAGATTAGCTATTCCATGTGAAGTAACTAATCATCCACCCGTACCACAGTCCCATGATGGATATTTTCATCCATGGATACTCCACACAAGAAGAAGGATGTACGCATGGATGCCCAATACGTACGATTTCAAATTTAGGGATAGAAATATACCTTGCTCAAGGGTATATTATATTTTTTAAGTAGCCATTAATTAATGGGAATCGAACTCTTGCCATTTGCTCTTATACCACATGTAGCGCACCCTATCTCTCTCCCCTTAAGCCAAATGAAAAAGGGGCAATTGCTTGATGAGAGAGCCCTTAGTGGCTATTTTATCCCCATTTATCCCCCAAGGTTCCAAGGATCCACGGTGATAGTATATCCAAATCTCATCCCATAATCACATGTGCTACACAGACTAACGGTGTAGCGGTTGGGTGAACCAAGGACTATAGAGTTTATTCAAGGTAGCCAAAGCATCGATGAAGTACTTCGACAAGCGAGAGTTGAAGTAGGGACATGAAAAGTAGACATGGATTTCACCATGTTGGACATAGTGGGATTTGACGTGATCTTCAGAATGGATTAGTTCAATCGGTTCATGGTAGCCCTGCATGGACAAGCTAGGAACCTTGTGGTACTAACAAATGCCTAAGGAGGAAGATCCAAGGTGAAGGCCCAAGATTTAAAGTTAGGCAATGCAAGGCTAAAGATTCCTGCCTAAACCTGGTGTCCACGAGAGGACAACTCACTAAAGGAACCAAGGCAGCATTTTTGTGCTTATTCTCGGTGAAAAGTGACAAAAAGACGGGAACGAAAAAAGTACCTTTAGTGATCCAGCGGGTGTTGGATCAATTCCAAGATACCATGCTAAAGGAGCTACTGGAGGGGTTACCCCCTGCACGATCGATAGAACATAAGATTGAGCTAGTCGAGGTTGTTGAAGTGATGGTTCGTCCCCCCTATCGTTTGAACGAAAAAGAACTCAAGGAGCTCAAACGCCAACTAGAGTTGGTGAACAAAGGGTATGTTAGGTTGGGCAAGTCGCCGTATAGGGCGCTGGTGTTATTTGTGAAAAAGAAAGATGGATCTATGCATATGTGCATAGACTATCGGTTTCTCAACAAGTATACAAAGAAGAACAAGTACCCTTTGCCAAGGATTGAGGACCTGTTTGGTAGGTTGGGAAAGGCAAAATATTTCTCGAGGATTAACCTAAGGTCAGGATACTACCAGATCATGGTAGCAGAGGAAGATGTTGAGAAGACAACTTGTCGAACAAGGTATGGAAGCTTTGAGTTTTTGGTGATGCCCTTCGGGTTATGCAATGCGCCGGCAACGTTTTCGGTGTTGATGAACCACATCTTTGTACCCTATCTGGATCACTTTGTGGTCATCTATATTGACGACATCCTGATTTATAGCGAAACGTTAGAGGAGCATGCCGAACACTTGACGAAGGTGTTTGAGAAACTAAGGGAACACCAGTTATATGCTAAAGAGAGCAAATGTGACTTTGCTCAACAAAAGGTAAAGTTTCTCGGGCATGTGGTGGGCAAGGACGGGCTCAAGGTGGACCCTGAGAAGGTCCAAATGATATTGGATTGGGAGCGACCATTGAATGTACACGAGTTAAGGGCATTCTTGGGGCTATGCAACTACTATTGGAAGTTTATCAAACACTATTCAAGAGTAGCCTGGACCAAATAGGAAAAGGGAAGATGGTATAAATAGCAGAATGTGAGGTGGAATTTGTCCACCTCAAAGGGACGTTGAGGAAGGCTCCCGTGTTGGCGTTACCAGATTTTGGTAAGGACTTTAAGATAGAAATAGATGCTTTAGATTTTGCGTTGGGTGTAGTTTTGAAGCAAGACAACCATCTAGTAGCATTCTTCTCGAAGAAGTTGGACAAGGCTCAACGGAAGTGGCCTGCCAACGAGAAGGAATTGTTTGCGGTGGTCAAGGCGCTCAAGGAGTGGCAACATTACCTTAAGAGACACTTCAAGGTTTACACGGACAATGTGGCAACGAAACGCTTCTTGTCACAGCCCGACTTTGAGAGGGAAACAGAGTCAGTGGGCCAATGCATTGGCTGAGTTTGATTGCGAGATTCTGT